GAGCTTGGCGCAGCAAGCATCTTTTTGGCAAGATCATGCATTCGAGCACGATCGAACATGTCAAAGGCCATACTGAGACTAAGACCATGTTTGAGGCCAATTTTGAGATGGGTCTGCCTGCTGATGCACTTTGCGGCTAGAGAGAGAGCTTCTTGGTTGTTGCAGAAGCAATTTTCGGTTAGGTCAACACCCAGCAATCTCCCAAACTCTAGACTCCACTGGACCACGATCTTTGCTCCTTCTGCTGAGGGGGCGCGCCCCTTGCGCCGCAGCGCCTCAATGGGATCCCGATCCGAGTTGGCCAGTATGGTGCGCTCCCGAGAGGGGCCGAGAGGGCTTTGGGACATTTTTTGGAGGTGCTGCGGCCCAATTGTGTTTGGTCTAGTTTCTTTGTGTTTACCATCTGGTCGAGCTGGGTCAACCACACATTTACACAGCATGGGACGGTCACATGGGATTTACACATCACAGGCACCTTCGGGTCAGGTTTAATCAAGGAAGGAATTGATTGGTTGCCCCATCCTTGACGGATTCCAATCCTTCTCTTTTGCACTCGGTGCGAAGGATGGCCTGTGACATTTTGACACCGACGCACCGTTTGTCCGGGCTTCTCTGAGCCAACACTTCGAGAAAACAGTATCTACTCATGTGCGCAAATCGCTCAGATGATCCCAACTTGCAGAAGTAGATGTACAAACCAAACCCCCCAAAAAAATACCAGTAGCTTTTGGCGGACAATATAGTTTTCTCTCGGACGCACCGTTTTGGGGAGCCCCTAGCTGTAGCTTTCTTGCGAGGTGAAGCTGCTTAGATTTTCCCCATGGCCGACCGCGCCTGCCAAGCGTTCAGTCCGGCCAGGTGGAACAGTTGACAGAACCCAGTGGCAGCGGATCCTTCAGGATGCTCACGCGCGCAGGAGAGACCTGTGGGAGAGAGACGTTTCCTGGCGGGCCGCAGAGCAGGGATGATGAAAATCCTTCTTGGCTTGGGGTACAGCGGAGTCAAGACCAAGACCCCCACAATCTAGGTTGACACCACTGTATAGTTATTTTTCTGGTAACCCTTTATTTTTGTTTTCATCCACCAGGCATGGCCATCGGGTTCAAAAGAAGGATTTGTTTGCTGCGCTGAATAGAAGGTAGTAACTTTCGGGTTGTTTCCTTGATGCACAAAATCTGGACCACATACTCCTCCTGAAATAAGGAACCTTTCAAACAGTGCTTGTAGTATGGCAATTATATACCTGTTGATTATATAATTTGTAATTTTTCTACTACCAGGGTAGACCAGCTCCCGTACCCGTGTGAAGTCTACAGCCATTGGGTTGCGACTTGCCCTGAGGACTTTGCTTGGCTATTGGAGTGGTCTTAGTGACCGGGTATCACACGCCCGGTGCCTGATCTCCGGGCCAGCAGAAATACAATTATTTCGATTTCTTGCCGATTGATCCAAAGAGTCTTTGGATCTATTGGCAAGACTGCTGAATAGAAAGGTCCCTTAGAGCACCTATTTGGGCTATTGAGGACATATGGTGGTGTAAAGGTTGTTGAGAAGAGACGGATTTGGGGTGTGATATTCACCGGAGAACGCCTCAATGAAAGCAGAGCAGCTCCAAAAACAAAGAGCTTGTCCACAGAGTGGAGAGCTCGGCATATCAACAGAAAGCAGGTGACACCCCAGTGCAGTACTTTAGCAGGGGCAGTACTGTACGGAGTAAAAATAGCTCATATCAAGCAACCAGCGTCTTGTGCTCAAGTGAGTTCTTCCCTTGCATTTGACTCCCCACTTTCGAGAATCAAACGCGCAGATTTGTTTTGTTTAGCTCAACTCAGTTTGGAGACTTCAAAGTTCTACCCACGGCTGGAGTGAGGATCTGCCTTTGTGGCCATTTTTCTCAGTCCAAAGGGACAATCCCAAAGGCAAAAATTAATCGACAGCAAACACCTCAGCCCATGAGACATCAACGGAGTCTCTGCCAAGGCCCTTGTGGTTGGTGCCGTTTGGCATCGTCTTTGAAGGTGTGTCGTTGGCCTGGTTCTACTTGATTCAGAAGGACTTCCGGTAGGGTCAGGGTGACCAGGAAGGCATCTCCGGCATCTCCCTTGTCTTGAGATTCCAATTTTGCCTCTAGGGCTAGTGCTGCAGAATGCACGTGTGGCAAATAAGTGCTGTAGTAGACACGACGATATTGCGCGAGAAGACGACGCCGAGGGGGCATTGGTGCCTCCCAAAACTCAATCGGCTTCTTCAAAGAAAGGATCTACCCTTGGGCAAGACACATTGTTTGAGCGTGGATCAGATATATATAGCAGGAGCACTGTTTGCTAACCTGGAATGCTTTGCAACATAGAAGTCCATGTCGGCAAGACGGCCCGCAGAAAGCCTGAAACCTTTAGTTGGAAGTTTGGAGCTTCCATGTGGACTTGTAAAGACTACAGTACAGGCGGGCTAACATGTTCATGTGACATACGGGCAAACGACTTCCCAAACTTCCCACAATGTTCGATTGGGCCCAAAAACGTGTGCATGTAGCGTAGGCAAGCGAGTCGGGTGCCAATGTAGTTTTGGCAATAAATCATTTCAAAAGTTCTACTTGTGAGACATCAAAATTGGAGTTTCCACACATGATTTGAGGGAGTGGTGGCACAGTATTTATATAAATGTATTTAATGAAAAGTTCATTTGCTCTTCAGAGTGCAGTGTGCCATTGGAGACTTGGAAAAAGCAGCGTTCTGTGTGACTTTTGGTGGGAATGGGGTGCAAATTGGGTTGGAGACTATGGTCCAAGCTCCTGAGAATAACCAAGGCATTATTCTTTTTCTTTCGATCGGAGAGTCGGAGGTCCTTAAGGCCTGCAAAAGTCGGAAGACGCATCTCTCCGTCAAGCACATGCACCATCCCATGGAGTCATACGGTCGTGCTGCTTGTTCTTTGCCATAGTGATGCTGCAAATCTTGGATCATTTCCCATTGCTGCGGGAATCCTCGCAGTGAGAAGGTTTCCAGTGCGAAGAAGCTGGACGCCTATTTCCGGCAGTCAAAGCCCTCCTTTATCGTTTAGCAGCCTCTCCAAGTGTGGTCACTCTTTGCAGGACTGCGAACAAGGACATTTCTTTCCGAGCAAGGTGCCGGGTAAAGAGCATTGTGTTCTTTTAGGTTTTGACTTGGTTCAAAAGATTGCAAATCCACTCTTTGTTGGTTCTGGTTGTTTCAAACATTTGCACTTGAGACTTTTATATAGCTGCTTGAGCAGGTGGTTTCTATTCTATGTTTCAGATGGATGTGATGTGGTCCTGTTTCCACTTATATATGCGCAAGCTTGGAATTCTGGCGAACTCTGCTGCCCAATTTCTGGCTCCTGCAACACGTCAAATCCCTTGAAACTTCATGATATTCAGGTTTTGTTCGTGTTTCTGAACACCTAGCACCTTTGGCACCTTACTTAGCAGGTCCACTTGCCAACTCTTCATAAGAACCATCCTTGGCCTGCGCACATGAACCTCACCTGTCACATTGGATGCCTTGGAGGTTCGACCCCCCTCCTGCACAAGTGACCCGCGACGTGGCCACTCCAGGCGTTGAATGTGGCGGGGTCTTGGCTCCTCCGTGGAAGCCCCAGACGGTTGCGAGAGTTACTGAAAAGGAGCTATTATGAGTGACATAAATTCTTCCATCCGCGAACCCTTGCCTATTTAAGTAACGAGCAAATCCTAGGTAGACAATGAACAGAGCCTTTTCATTTGAGTTTCGTCGTCGTCAGCAACAGCAATCCTTCAACAGTTATATAGACCTCTTTTTAGATGGAAGCAGGTTGGGAGCTGCACATGGCTGGGGCAGTGCTGTTGGTGGTGACACAGGTGGGGTGCGGGAGTGCATGGTTACTTCAAGCTGAAGACGGGTATGGAAGCTGTTTGAGCCAAGAGTGATGGACATCTTTGGCTACCTATGTTGCAAGCTTTGTTAAACAACATACCGGCAGGCCGCTTTAGGAGCTCTAAACTAGGCAATTTCAAGCAAAGTCGCTTTAGCACAATCATGGGCCAAATCGGGCACCTAGTATCACACAGAAATAGCTCCAGTATGTGGATTTCAGTTGATTGGGAGGGCGAGGTGTTTCGCTGCACAGCACTCGTCTGCCACTCCGTCGCTGGGGATTTCACAGATTTGGAGCTTTGGCGCGCTGCTGAAGTTCTTCGTGTTGCCGTTGTTGGTGATGCACGCGACCCTCTCCACCACGAGCAAGGAGGTTTCTTGATTTCAAAGATGCATGCGTGTTTCAGAGATGGGCAGAGCATGGGGCCATGTTCAATGGCGGTTTGGGCTGAACAACATTTTATGGCAATTTTCACTGGTTCTTCACATCGCTAATTTTGCGGCTGCAACCCTGTGTCGATAAAGCAAATATATACATCTATATATATAGTGCTATCGGAATTTGAAGGACCCAATTGCTTGGCGAAGAATAGACAAGGAAAGGAATGAGTCATCAGTGGAACGACACCCTGCTGACATAACATAACAGACTTCTAACGTCACGGCCTTCTCTCATTCCTCTCTTGTTCCCATGGTGCTCGTTCCAGCGCTGTCGATTTATCGATGTATCTGAGGTCGAGGTGCCAAAGAAAGAGCGCAAGACGATGCGGAAGTCACCCTCGATGACCTCGTCACTCGATCTGAAGTGATTTGTTATTTCAGGGTCCGCCGGGTCCTGTCTTTGGGTTTTCTACACTTGACTGGTTAGAACTTCCACTCCACTGTAACAACACTCCACTGTAACAACACAATAGGTTGGGTTGGAATTTTGGCATTTACGCAGACCTGCCTGTGGTTAGCATGTTTGAGGGTTCGTAGGACTTTGAAGCGTTGAGCGACAGCGGAAATTTCCTCATCAGCAACCTGCATGAACGAAACTACAGCAGTTAGCAGGAAAGGAAGTGTCGATGGACAAATTCAGACAAACACCCCGGCCTGCCCATGGCATTTAGTGTTTGTGTGACACGGGCCACAGGGTCCTCTTGGCAACCAAGACAGAATTTCTTCCGGGCCATTTTTTCGGTCTTCACGTTCAAGCGTTTGGGGTTCAATCGGAATGATGGATTCTGGGGAGCATGTTCTATGGAATCTCGTCTGATGTACAGTTGAGCATGACCATTCATGATCATCCCTTACCTAGAGCACGGAATCTTCTGGGCATGGACACGTTCTTCCATGCCAAGGTTGGAGCTTCTGTTCCCAGAGTTGGAGTGTGGATGCCGAGTGAGCAATCGCGAACCCCGTGTGGCTTCATCAGATTTGGTCACTTCCGGCTGCAGGGACATGCGCAGTCAGTAAGATGGCAGGGACCTTTCCTAGGTGAGACTTTTGAAGTTCCTGAGCTGAAGCCAAAGAGAACAAAGGTTTCTTTCATCTTTGAAAGCATGCAGAATCGCCTCACCCGAATGGCGCATTCTCTCAAATCGCAGTTTGAGAAGGGAGCTTCCAAATCATCTCTGGGCCTAATGTTGACTTCTGATTTATACATGGCCCGTGAATAATACTATATACTGTAAATGTTTTCAAAAATCAATTATTAATGGCCCCCAAATAATACTTTTTTTTTTTTTTCTGGACCATGATTTTCAGCTGCTTCCAGACCTTGATTCATCCAAACTGATTCCAAAACCGGATTCTGTTGGTGGTTTCCTTTACAGTTCTTTTAGATTTCCTTTTGGTTGAAAAGCCTTAGCTTTATTGAAGGCAATCCTTTCTGGATGTCTGATTTGGCTGCTGATTTGGCTGCTGCATTTTCCTTTTAAAACTGCGTATTTGGGCATTGCCATTTGTGACCTGAAATCAACCCACAAAGTCCACCCCCCACAAGCAGCCCAAACCTTCAATTACTTCAGACCTCAAATAGATAATATATATAATTCTACACAATCCCTGGCTGGTTCTTTTGGTGGTTTCCTTTACAATTCCTTTAGATTTCCTTTTGGTTGAAAGGTTTTAGTTTTGTTGAGGGCTATGGTCATTTAGGTTCAGCCCCTTTACAGTTCCTTCAGCACTACTTACATTGATTGCTTTCATTTCCTTTCCTTTTATTTTGCTTTCATGTCCTTTCCTTTCGTTTCATTGTCCTTTCAATTTCCTTTCCTTTCCTTTCATTTTCCTTTCATTTCCTTTCCTTTCCTGTAATTATGTAATTTTCTTTTCTTTCCTTTCATTTCCATTTCAAATCAATATTTTTCTGGATTTTTCTAGATTTCACATCATTTAGGGCCCGCACTTGATCCACGGGGGGGGGGGTTATTATTCAGAGGTGGACATTAAACCGTGTTGAGGGGAGTATGCAAGATGTTCATCAACCATGGCTTCCGGCCAAAACACAAGCTTGAAGAATCATATGCACAAGCACACGTGAGGATTCCACATGATTGGGGATCAGTGCACTTCCATTTTCAACGCGCAGGAAGCATCCCAACTCAGTGGGTCCCTTTTGAACCAGCGGTCCCGACTTAAACCAGAAACCTGGTTTAAGGCGGTGAAAGCTCCATGTTACTTTTTTTTGCACATCCAAACAGAGAAACAACCAGAGTCTGTTGGAGGCCATTGCTATTAGGTTGGAGGCCATCGCTGTTCTCTTCCTTTTCCCATGGTGGGTTTCCACCAGCACAGCTTCGAGGTCCACCGCCTCGCAAGTCAGCGACCTCTTGGTTGAAGCGCAACAGGCGGACCAATCCTCGGTCTTCAGACGCCAGGCTGGCGATGGGACTGTTTCAGGACTGGGATGATGTTGGTGTGGGTATGAATTTGCGGTTTCGGTGTCCAACTCATGGAAGAAGTGGAGAAGCAGGAACTAGAATCTGCAGCGACAATGGGGCTCCATGGAATGTCAAAGATTCACGAAGATTTCAATGTAGCAAGTCCTACCTGGACTTAAAACAGGTGACATGACAGACACTGACCGACGATGTACAATCAGTTGCGACGAAAGCAAAACGTCACTGACCTCTCCTTTGCTCGCTGATGTCGACTGTTCAAGCAAATGTTCCCAGGTCAGTGGAGATCAAGATGATGAGGAGGAGCGCAGGGGGTTTGCAGGTTCGGTGGAAGGGTGGTGAAAAGATAGACATAGCATGATGCCCTTTAGTGGCCCCTAGTAGCGTCCTTGCTCCTAGCATGATGCCTAGTTTGTGTTTGTTGGTTGTGAGATGAGAAACTATGTACTGCCCAAGCAAGGTTTTCTCTCTTGACGTGGCTTTCTGGACATCGGATAGCCTGACTGTTCAGCTCAGCTTAAGCTCCATTTTTTAGGTTAGACTGGACTCCATGTAAAGGGAATGTCGTCTTGGATGAGGGATTGAAAAGGAGTCGGCTGGATTCTGCTTCACTATTTGCTGCGACAGGATTGGCAATTTGGGGTTGCACTCCATCAGATTCCAATGCCTCTTGGATTGAAATTGGTATTGGAGTTTTTAGGGTAGATGCTACACCAGCGACGCCCACCTGGTGGAGACGCGTACGCATCCTTTTCGATACGCAACAAGCAAACAGCCGCTGTGAGGCAACGGCATGGTGCCCTTGCGTTCATTCCGGGAGACCAGCAAGAAGGGTGGTGAAGACATGAGTCAATTTCACACACGACTCAGGGTGATCAAAGCATTTACCAGTCACCGTTGACCTATAAACTGTTTGGGCAAGTGGGAGTTTAAATCCTGTGTGTTCTTCATAGGGGAGCCGCAGACTGTGCCACGGATACACAGATTCTGAAGAGGTCCTTGCCATGTTTGTGCGACCAAGCCTTTCAAAGAAGGCACCCATTGGATTTCACACCTGCAGACCCACTATACACACCCTTTCAGAATCTAACGTTGACAACCACGTAGGTGAGCTCCAACGCTTGTCTTGGAAAAGTGCATATGTACACACTTAGGATAGGGTGTACTGAACTGAAAGCGGTGCCACACGCCGGCCTAGGGTTCCATTTCCTAAGGGTACAGGTAAGGACACCTAAAAAGGAAGAGGAGGTCCATCCAGCCGAGGTCCCAAAGAGTTCAGGTGGCCAGCCATTCCAAAAGAAATCATCGATCGAGCGGACGACAAGGTGGCGGCGTGCCGTGCGTGACTGCAGCTGCATTAGCACTTTACAAAGGAAAAGGAAAAGGAAAAGTGTGGCCACCAGCTGCGTCTTATAATGCGCGGCCCAGGTGCACCACGCAGGTACGTTTTCACGACAGCTTGGATGGGTCTTCGTTGGCCCATGCCATCCAAGTGTCCATGGGCCCCCTGCTTTGACAAAAGCTAAAAAGCAAAAAGGCAAACCGAACAAATCCGAAAGGATCCCTATGACTCCAAGGGTTACACACACACGCCTCCCCGAGGGGAGGCGAGAAACTAAGGTAAGGGCCAATGTGCACGTGTGCGCGCACAAGAGACAAGAAAGTGAAGACATGACAAGAGGACGAGACGGGACAAAGGTGCGTGTGGTTGAAATGAAAGGGGAACCAAGTGCACAGGGACAACCGATGAAGCCCACCTCATTGTAAAGACCTGGGCGACCTGAAACCTGTGTTTAAATGTATGTAGAAGTGCACGTACACACTAAGGCCGGGACCAATGTGCGCGCCAACGAAGAAAAGGATGAGATGACCAGACATGAAGACAGGAGGACATGAAAGAAAAGAGGAAACAAAAGTGTGTGAGGGGGAAGGGATGAAAGGGGAACCAGATGGAGGGGACAAGAACCGGTGAAGCCGAACCTCATTAAAACGACCTTGGAAAACCTGCCTCGTTTGAATGTATACGCTGTATGTGCACCCAAGGTCTCGACAGGTTCCAATGAACCTAGAAACTGGCTTCGACCGCTGTGGTCACCTTGTGCCTTGCCGAAATGGCTGGCTGCTTCGACCGCTGCGGTCACGTAAAGGCATAAGCCAGCTTGGAATTCCTAAAATGAGACAAAGTCGCAGTTCTCTCGGCCTAGGCCACCTACGCTCGCTGCGAGCTGCTCTGTATCCGGGCAGTGGATACGTTCGACGTACCCCCGTTCAACGGGTCCACGGGAGGCACTCTGCGGGCTCATCCCGGGTTGGCGCGAGGCCAAACACACTTAGGATAGGGTGTACTGAACTGAAAGCGGTGCCACACGCCGGCCTAGGGTTCCATTTCCTAAGGGTACAGGTAAGGACACCTAAAAAGGAAGAGGAGGTCCATCCAGCCGAGGCCCCAAAGAGTTCACGTGGCCAGCCATTCCAAAAGAAATCATCGATCGAGCGGACGACAAGGTGACGGCGTGCCGTGCGTGACTGCAGCTGCATTAGCACTTTACAAAGGAAAAGGAAAAGGAAAAATGTGGCCACCAGATGCGTCTTATAATGCACGGCCCAGGTGCACCACGCAGGTACGTTTTCACGACAGCTTGGATGGGTCTTCGTTGGCCCATGCCATCCAAGTGTCCATGGGCCCCCTGCTTTGACAAAAGCTAAAAAGCAAAAAGGCAAACCGAACAAATCCGAAAGGATCCCTATGATTCCAAGGGTTACACACACACACACACACTCTCTCTCTCTCTCTCTCGCGCTCCTCTCGCTTTGTTTTAGGTATCAGCTCCAACGCTTGTCCAAGAACCTCTCCAAAGAACTGCAACGCGCGCGTGAGAGCCTTAGTCATGAGACGTGGCGGTGGAGTCAGGGGACGATCACTTTTGCTGTCTTGCAGGTGCTACAGAAGATATAGCTTTATGGCTTTATGCTACTAGGAGCAAGGACGCTACTAGGGGCTCCTGGCCGTACTACTAAGAACAAGAAGCTACTAGGAGCAAAGGGCATCGCTACTAGGAGCAAAGACGCTACTAGGGGCCACTAAATGGAGCAGTTCACAAACCACTCAGTTGGGATACTGATTTGTTTAAATCCATCGATATCCTTCACCTCCTGCCATTAGGATCCGTTGTTTTTGCATTGGTGCAGGGGATTTGGGCATTTGATTCTAGGGAAGGTTGGGTGTGTCGTGTGGTGCTGCACGGATCCTTTTCTCCGCGCAACCTTGAGCCAAACGATGTTTATCGAATGGCGAGTTTCACCTGAGTGGTTTCAAGTACACTTCTCGTTTTGTGCACCTGACTGCAAACAAAGTTTGGAGGTTGGTGGTCCATTTCAACTGCCACACTCCCCCTGACCATCGTATGGTCAAACTTCAGGGAAAAAAAGGAAGTGATCCTTCGACCACATTTCAAGTGGTTTTTCAACCACAAACTTCATAGCTGCCGTCAGAATCCGAATCCGGATCCCTCAAACGGTCACTTTGACCCGGCACACCACGCGGCCTCACTGGGAGTTGGCTCACAATGCCCATCCATTGCGGAACCTCATCCAAGTGTTCGTGTAGAGGAGGAAGTCCAGGAGGTAGTGTCGTTTCGTGCCCCTGAACTGAGCTGGTTGAGCTCATATCTAAATTCCTCCTCCAATCTTCCCTTTCACTTTCACTTTCTGTGGCGCTCGACGCCGGCCCAGATCGCAGGTTCTCCCCGCGAGAGAGGTAGCCGCCAAGTCGCCCCATGTAGCCAAGGGTCACGCCAGCATCAATGGCGTCTGAGCCCCGAGCCGCTGCCGTAGATCCAGTCGCACTGGACCTTGTGCTGGGAGAGGTCTGTGAAGGTGCAGAGGACGATGGCGATGAAGTCCTCCTCACCGAATGCACTTCCGTTCTCACCCAGGTCACATTGGCCGTCGGAAATTCCACCTGTTCAGACGATGGAGTGCCAGTGGAGTTCTCTGCCACCGAATCCAAAGTCGCCCTTCGTTGGGGTGGTTCCAGCGTGTCATCAACCGGAGGTGGACCTGAGCTGCTCGACTGTGGATCGGTGGAAGTTGTTGTTTGTAATCTCCCGGAAAAAGGTGTATCCCACCCATTGATCCTGGTCAGGCAAGACAGGGCCAATGCCACTCCTCCAGTCGTCGTAGAAGATGGTTTTCTCTCCATGGTGCCAAACAACAGTCACCCTTTGGTGTCGGATGGATGCACTGTTGAAGGGCGTCATCCTGTGTAGTGGGTGGAAAGGTCGTTTTCGAGGCTTCACATGATGCCTCACCCACCATCCATAGCGCAATCGCCTCCAGCGGTCGCGGCCTTGCGGAGGGAGCTGGAATGGGAACCACTCCCAAATCCGCTCTTCCGGCTGCTCCGGCCCAGCGCGAGCCCCAAGCGCAGCCAGCCGCACGCCATGATCGCACGCACGAGACGCGGCCGAGGTATAGCCATTTAGGCTAGGTCCCAACCCCCCCAACCCCTCCCGTGCGGTGGGTTCATTTTCCCTCACCGATCTTGACTTTCTTGTTTCGACCGATTCGCTTCCCATGGGTGCCCCCGCCCGCGAATCGACCGTCAGGTGCCCATTGGTCTTTGTGGGGTCTTTTGTGTCCTTTTTCCACCAAATTGCAAGTGCAGCTACCAAAGCTGAGATGGTGACACATCTCGCCACCTTGTGACTTTCCTGCGAAGGGTTCCATGCCGCCATGCCAATGATGCCGCCCAGAATTGCCATCAACCTTGACTTGGACAGCGATGCACCTGGAGCTCGGTCAACATCCTTGGACAACACACGAGCTCCAATGAAGGTGTAAAAGTTCTGCCACAGCGTCGGGTTGACGATTGGTTTGGTGAGCAGGTCTGAGGCAAGTTCGGCTCCTGGAACATGTTGGGTTTTCCAGCAGCTCTGCTGAATGCGTTCCTTCACAACGAACGCCCTCAAGCGAAGGTGTCTTGTTCTCCAGGGTCCATCCGGGGCGACCAAAATCTTCAAGCCAGTTTGAGAGTCACCGCAAAGGACCTGTTGGCCTTGGAGATGAAGACGATTGTCCTCCAGCACATTGACCACTGAAGCGACTGATTCTCCGATGACGACTCCATCAACGTAGCCCATCAGCTCGGCCTCAGCGCTTGAAAGAGTTGCAAATGGTTGTTGTTTACTCTCCCACTGCACTGGAGAGCCATTGTAGGTCACCAAAAGACCTTGCTGTCCTCGTCCTCCTTGGGGTCCATGAGAAGCATCTGAATACACTTTCAGGCAGGGCTTTTTGGCAGCATCACAATCTTCGAGGGACGACTCAACCACCTGCTTGGTGTAGCGAAGCTCATAGTCCACTGTATGCTGCAAGTAGCCCAACATGTGAGCACCCCACTCCAGAACCTTGGTCGGTGCTTTCGTCACCAAACGTCCCATGATGGAGACACCGTAGCAAAGATCTGGTCTTGTGCGGCCACTCAACCAAAGAAGTTCTCCGACCAAAGCTTGAGCTCGTCGGACTTGGGAGATTTGCACATCAGCTTCAACTTCATCTTGAACTCCCAAAGGAAGAGGCGTTTGACGTGGTTTGATGCCTTCATGGCGAGACAAAAGATCTCGAGTGTATGAGGCCTGGTTGAGGATCACCGCATCATCGCTGCAGCTGATCTCAAAGCCACAAAACTTGATGGCCTTTTCTGCCGTTGCCCACTCTGGTTCGGAACACCGCCAATGAGCCCTAATCCCATCGATCACCGACTTTGCCAAGGGACCTGGTGCAGCAACAAGCATGTCATCAACGTACACAGCGAGGAAGCCTTCAGAGTTGTCCTCCTGCGGAAGAGCACCAGGGTCGGTTTTGATCAACTTCCAAAGGTTTGGCTCCGGTGTGGACAGC